TGTGTGTGTGTGTGTACCCTTATACACATTTACGTAAGTGTACTCATGTAGTTCTCTGGGTGAAATTCATTCCTACAAGTTGAATTTCTAGGAAAAAATAAGCTGAATAGAGTCTTTGGGTCAGAGTCTGGGTCTTTGATTCCTTGAAACCATGATATCAAGGATGTTATAACATCTGAATGGGTGAAATCAATGTAAAAAAGCGCAAATACCCCATTGTTAAGTGGACTAGCCGACACGACAAAGTACAACACTTCAAACCTCTTGATTTTAAATTATTTAAATGCACCATTTATTTAATGGATAGTTGAGGGGAAAATTCCAAAAGAATAGAAATGCCATCACTCTATGTTTGGTTTAAAAATATGCTTAAATAAGATTAGAAATTCAGGAAAATTTAACATACTATGGATAATAAAAAGAAGACCATTTTTTGACAGATTGGAGTGTCTTGAGTTTGCCTGTTGGTATCAGTTGTGTCTGCATATAGTGGCAGTCACACAGTCTCATCTTTAGTTCTGGGTTATGTTGGGCAGCACTTCTATTTCCCTGGTTCTTATTGTCGTGAAATGTGATCACAGGGCAAGAAGGCAGTGATGAAGTTCAGGAGCGCTGTGGACAATTCCCAGGGAATGCATCGATATCACCTTCCGAACATTAACAGTTACATGATGCCTATTCCGCCTCCACCTCCTCCCCCCAGTGGAAGACTCGCAAGGGAAAACAGACCTGAAACGTGGAGAAGGAGAAGATTCCGTCCAACCACTGCTCCAGATGGCTTAGAACCTCTCTTTACCAGGGTGAGTACGGAATCAAGTTTTCTTTTATTAATTTAGCACCGATGACATTGCACTGTTAGACTGCTAGGTATGCAGTAAAATGATCCGGGGAAATCAAATGCAAAATGCCTTGCAGAGGGAATATAATAATTTTATAAGCGTAGTGATTGTAAGATGAATGAATCGGAAACCAAATATTTGAGTGGTTCTGCTGAGTAACTTATCATAATTGATAAAAATATCCAGTAAATCTTGTGCTCAAATGTAATTTGTACTATACCCATTTCCAGATCATTTATTTCCTTTCATCTGCCCATTCAATCACATGTTATCAGAAAGTATTCTAACACTTAATTTGTGAAAACTCAGGAGCTTAAATATATCAAAAAGCACAATGTACCATATAAAATAATTATTAAAGCTCACTGTTAAACAATTTTTGGCAAATTACTGTATGATATTTAGAAAAATTTTCTTTTCAGTGTTCCTAAAAATACTGTAGTTTTTTGTAATTATCTCTTCAAAATACTGATGAAGAAATAGCATGAAGGTCACTTTATTCACTTATAGGCCAGTATGAAGGCAAAAGAGCGCCCAATTTTTATGGTGTAAGACTACAACTAAGAGCAAGTATATGTAATTTTTCTGACTATTAGCAGATGTCTGGGTCAACATGTCAGTGATGGAGATTCAGGGAGTGACGTGCTGACCATGCCTGTGGACAGCATGCTGGCTCCTCAAAGCCAACCTTTATTTACCCCTTGTCCACGTCTCACTTCCAGCAGCTGTCCCCACCAGTGAGTTTTCTCACCAATAACCTTCTCGAAAAACTGGGACTGTTTTCCTCGTGCTTGTTCAGATCTCTTCCTTTCAAATCACCTGTTCCCAATTCCCTTCCTTTGTTCCGGTCTCTGACAGCATTGTAGCCCTCATCCCTGAGGCCCACCCTTCACCCTGCTCCTTGATCTCTTCCTTTTCCGCTGCCTATGACACCTTGCATCGTCTGTCATTCTCCTCTCTAATGTGGACTTTCATTCCTTCCTCTAATGTTTGTCTCTGTCCCTCAACATACCCAGGCCTTACAGAGAGTAACCAAGTCCTTTCCTTACATTCTGTAGCCTGAGACTCCTGTTTCCTCCTGTCTGACTGCAACGTTCTCTGAAGGATAGTTTGCTGTTGCCTACTGTAACAAACAACCCCAGGCAACTTGGCTTCCAACCACAAAGGTTTATTTCTTTTTCTCATTACTATCTGTTGCTGGTCAGCTGCAATTCAGGGACCCAGATGGGAGGAGCACTCCCTGTCTGGGCTATGTTGGCCTTGTGGATGGAAGAGTCATGGAACACTTTTAAGATTCCATGTCACACCTGAATTCCATTGCCAAAGCCTGACCGCAGTGGAGTGGGAAGTATCCTCTCATAGTGAAGGGCAGTGAATGTTTGGAGCAATGATAGAATCTGCCATATCCACTGACTTCCTTTGAACTCTGTCTGCTGGCATTGGTCCCCCAGACCAACCCACATGTTCTCTTGAAGGTCATGGCCCCCACTTACACAAACAATGACTTTCTTATCATCCTTATTTGGTGGCAGCATTTTATTTTCTGATGTTAAAATATATTTCTGGGGTAAACTCCACCAGCTCATATTTTTAAAGAAAGTTTAAGTGTCATATAGACCAAAGAGTAAATAAAATCTATATGTGTGAGTTAAAAAACAACAAACACTCATGGACACACCATTTTTCTCAACAAAGTGGAACACCTGTCACATGAAGAGCTCCCTGTTTCGTGCCCTGTCACATCCTCTACTCCTTCCCAGAGCAACCACTGAACTGATACCCGTGTTAACTGGGTCCCTGATTTTCTCTGGAGTTCTAGTACTTATATGCATAAAAACTTCAGGAATAGTCTCAAACCTAGCATTGTAATAAAAGGATAACACTTCCAGGGGTAAAGAAGCTGAATAGAGCCTTTGGTTTGATTTTGATCTAGATTTGGTCCCTTGACAGTTTTAAGACCCTCTTGTGGGGAAGTGAGAGAGGACAGGTTATGAGTGTGCCCTAGGAAGAGGGGGCCCACCAAGGTCAGGGCCTCATGTGGGCCAGACACTGGCTGTTCAGCAGGAATATGGTCAGGCAAACAGGCTTCTGTAGTGGGGCACAGTGGAGAGAGCAGCAACTTCTCCATCCTGTAGTCATGACAGGTGAAGCATGGATAAGCATCTGAGCTGGCTTCCCCTGGGCGTTCTACATTCAGGTTAGAAACACAGCAGGTGTCAGCAGGTACCCTGGCTCTGATGGACCTTGGCGTGTCTGGCTCTTGAGTTCACAAGCTTTCAGTCTGACTTGGTCTTTTTTTTTTTTTAAAAAAGGCCATTGTTCTCTCTTGTTTGGGATCCCTATTTGGGGAATGTTGGAACTACTAGATGGATGCTCTAATATTCTTAGCTTTTCTCTCCTGTTTTTAGTTCTTTGCCTGTTTGCTCTACTTGCTGAGAGATTTCTTCAGTTTTATCTTGCACACATTCCACTGACATTTTTCTTTTCCTGCCATGTTTTAATTCCTAGAACTCCTTTTATGTTCACCAAATGTTACTTTTAGAAAGCATCTTATTCTTGTTCTGTACAGTTTGATTCTTTGATACCTGCAGATACTAGCTTTGTGGACTAATATATGCTCAGTTTTTGTAAAGAACGTGATTCACTAATTGTTGGGAGCCGAGTTCTATAAATGTTCAAAAGACAAGAAATGCCAATTATGCCATTCTTATTTTTATATCCTTAGCATTCTTTTCTATCTGCTTGGTCTCTCAGTTCTTGAGTCCTAGTGATAATTCTTCTCTGTAGTTTATGGATTTGTCAGTTTCTTCTGGTAATTATGTCAGGTTCTGCTTTGTCAATGTTGAGAAAACCTGGTTATATGCTCTAAGGTAGGGTGCTCTATCCTCCGGGTGAAGTGATTCTTTGTTATTAAAAAAAAAATGATCCTCTTTATCGCTTACAACTTTTGGCCTTCAAATTTATTTTGTCTAATAAAACCCCTTATTTTCTTTAGATTTTATGTGTATCCTATATAAAGGAATATATGTGTATTCGTTTTACCTTCAGTCTTTCAACATCTTTAGCTTTAAGCTCTAGGCTTTAAACGTGTTTATGCAGCATTTGGGTGCTTTGTGTTTATTTCAATCTGAGAATCTCTGTTCCTTTAATGAGTGAGTTTAGCCTGATGACACTATTTTCTTTGGTGATATATTTAGACTTCCTTCTCCCACCTTATTTTGCATTTTCTACTCACCATGATTTTTCTTTGATAGTAGCATTTTATGCTGTTATTGCCTCTTCCTTGAAAATTCCTTCTCGTGCCTCCACAGAATTCTGCTTTCCTGGTTCTTTGGTCTCTCCTTTTGCCTCTTGTCTTGTTCCTTTGCGTCTCTTTCATCTTCAGCCCTAAACCTCGCCATCACTGTGGGCTTAGACCTTGATACTCATTTGTCTATTCAGAATGTGGTCATCTTCCATTCTGCATGGCTTCAGTAGCTTTCTAGATGGCTCTTGGATTTGTCACTTGCACCTAGGTCCTGGGGTTTAGAATAAAATTGGCACAGTGGGGTAAATCATGCACTTTTACTTTAGTA